CCTTAAAATGTTTTAACATTTTTAAAACATTTTAAGGCTAATTAAGGCCTTATTTTTGGATTGATGAATTCAATTACTTTTAAGACTTTTTAAGGAACCCTGGTTTTAGCTGCACCTTCCTAAAATAATCCTGTAGTTTTCTGTTGTTTCCTGATGAATTTATACAAATAAACACGCGAACATGTAAAAACATCAAGTGTATTTTGCTAATTTTGCTCTGGTTCAAACCTTGTGCTGTTCAGGTCAAACATTTCATGTTTCAATTCTTTTCTATCTGATAAAAACTTTCTGTAACAAAAGAAGTTTTTTTTTAAGGCTCATCGGTTTGTTTAACCTGAGACTAGAAGCTGTTAGCTGCTGCTGCTAACATTTAAATGCTAATAGTAGAAGCTTGTATCAGCTGCAAACATCTGCTGCCAACAGCAACAGCTAACAATAGAAGCTATCACCAGCTGCTAGCAGCTGCCGCTAACAATAGAAGCTAACATCAGATGCTAACAACAGATGCTAACAGCAACAGCTAACACCAGATGCTAACAGCAACAGCTAACAATAGAAGGTAACAGCAGATGCTAACAGCAGATGCTAACAGCAGATGCTAACAGCAGCTTCAATTCCTTACCGACCGGTTTGTGTCCAATCATCGCGTGGAACAAACACACCTCCACCTCGTGGCTCCAGACCACCGAGTCCTCCCCGGGAACCAGGCCGGAGTCCGGAGGCTTCTCCTCGCTTTGACTCAGTGTCACATCTGCCTCCCCCATCTTTATCTACCTCCGGGCTAAAGCTAACCAGAGAGCTGCGCTGATCCGCCAGCAGCCMGGACACTTCCGGCTAATGCTTTTCAAAATAAACGTGAAGCTAAACTTTAGAATTGAATAATAAATAACTCATAGATGAAATAATATGCTTTATTTAGTCTAACGTACAGACTAAAACATTTGAACATTAAAGGCCTGAATGTCAGATTTTTGTAATTTTGTAGCTTTACTCTGAAGGCTTCTTTCTCCCAGAGTGATTCTACAACATTTAACTTTACCAACTTTTAAGAACAAGTTAGAATTTTGTGTGTATTTCATGTGATCCACACAGGTTTAAATACATCCATACACCCCACTAATTATGGATTAAATATCCTCATCTGCTCTCACCTGGACCTCAGGTGTAAAACAGCTTTTTATTCCACAAATTATTGTTTTGCTAATGTTTGTCTGCTTCGTCCAATCAGACACCAGTTCTGGTTTGAGGTGAAACTATTTCAGCAGGTTCAGTCCCACAGCATGATGGTACCACCGCCATGCTCGACAGGTGACTTCTGTTAATGCTTCACCTCGACGCCGTCACACAGATTTCCTGTCATGTGACCACTGTGTGTAAACTGTGTGTAAACTGTGTGTTACCTCTGCTGAACGTGTGGTTCTGAAAACACTGAAGTCAAACAGTCCACTCTGAGTTCTGCTTCTCTAAACGGTGATCCAAACACCAAAAGGTTTATTGCAAATAAAACAGATACAGTCGAGGAGGCAAAAAGACCGAACTCACAAACAACCAGAGAGAAAACAAAAACATTTCACATACATCGAGTTTAAAACAAGGAGCTACTGAACTTTACTGGGCTGAATATGAACAACTTTTTAATTGTTTTACATCAAAATACAAAAACTCTGCACCTCCCCATAAAACACCCACATCCATAATTAAGTAAATGATATTACTGAGTCCAGGTTATCTGATAAAAACCAAACTTATGTTTTAAACGCTTTCTGAACATGGAACCAGTTTAACACAGAGAGAAACCTGGGAGCAGTGCATTGTGGGAGCTGTAGTTTGAACGAAGGGTTAGCTTTGTGCTGCTGATCAATCAGTTCTTTAACAAAAAATAATCTGAATTCAAACATTTCAGTCTATATAAGGTCTAAAGTCTTTGTAAATGGTTTTATTTAAAACACTTTAAATAATCTTAAAATAAACGAGAAACTAAACAAATAAATCAACATTTAAACAGTTTTCTGTTGATCAGAAGCAGCTTTAAAAAGCTGATTTAAAAATCCCTTTAATTTTTGAATCTCACAGCCAATTGGACGAGGATATTTTTGGCCCCTCCCCACAGTCTGTTCACCAATGAGACACGAGTAGGAGGAGGAGTTTCAGTCTAGCTCCTCCCCCATCGTTGCTCCTCCCCCAGAGTGAAAGGTGGCCAGAAATTTAAGATTGGAACCGGAGAAAACTGTTATTTTTATTGTCTTCTGCAGAAAAAGATGAAAGTGGAGAAAAGTTTTGGTCCCTGAAGTTCATCTACTTCATTTTTCTCAGACACACCTGATCCAGGTTCCAGTCCTGATCCAGGTTTCAGTCCTGATCCAGGTTCCAGTCCTGATCCAGGTTTCAGTCCTGATCTAATTAATCAATTTGTTTTAGCCAAAAAAGTAATACTTTGAATATAAAGCTAATATTTTTTATTCCTACATATTTTTACAGATTTATTCACTGAACTTGATGAAATAAATAACTTTACAGAAATAAACTGACTCCTCTGCTGTAAATTTATTAATTCTGTCTTTTAAATGAAAACTAGTTTAACTTATAAATGAAACAAAAGTGTCAAAAGTGACTTTTTTCAGAGGACTCAGCAGTGACCAGAATAAACCGTTAACTTCACATTTTAAGAATCACCAGATGTTTAAAAGAAAAACAACAAACTTAATCAAAACCTTCTAGTCAGATGTTTTAATTTTTAAAGGTCTGGCTTTAAAAACAAAACAAAACAAAAACAGCAGAAATAAAAGTGAGACGACAAAATGACGCAACAAAGCAGAAGGCAGAGAAGAGGCTGATAAACCAGGAGGCAGACACACCTGAAGACCAGGAGCCACACCTGGACCGTGTTTACAGAGACCAGGAGCCACACCTGGACCATATTTACACAGACCAGGAGCCACACCTGGACCATATTTACACAGACCAGGAGCCACACCTGGACCATGTTTACAGAGACCAGGAGCCACACATGGACCATATCGACAGAGACCAGGAGTCACACCTGGATCATGTTTGCACAGACCAGGAGCCACACATGGACCATGTCGACAGAGACCAGGAGCCACACCTGGACCATGTTTACACAGACCAGGAGCCACACATGGACCATGTCGACAGAGACCAGGAGTCACACCTGGATCATGTTTACACAGACCAGGAGCCACACATGGACCATATTTACACAGACCAGGAGCCACACCTGGACCGTGTTTACACAGACCAGGAGCCACACATGGACCATGTTTACACAGACCAGGAGTCACACCTGGACCATATTTACACAGGCCAGGAGCCACACCTGGACCGTGTTTACACAGACCAGGAGTCACACCTGGACCATATTTACACAGACCAGGAGCCACACCTGGACCATGTTTACACAGACCAGGAGCCACACCTGGACCATGTCGACAGAGACCAGGAGCCACACCTGGACCATGTTTACACAGACCAGGAGCCACACATGGACCATGTTTGCACAGACCAGGAGCCACACCTGGACCATGTTTGCACAGACCAGGAGCCACACCTGGACCATGTTTGCAC